AGAAGAAAAGATTTTTTGTTTGATTGAAGCACGCCGGTCTCCACTAACAGCCGAGCTCACGACTCCTCTACATCTGCTTTTGTTTCATCCTTCCCCTCCCACACTACACACAACAACCCCCTCAACCATCCCTCTCTTCCTCTCTGCAGCAGTCCCAGGCAGCTGTACTCTCTGTCTCCAGCTTGCCTGACGCTGCTGCAGTGGTAAAGCAGAGAGAAAAGAGAGAGAGAGAGGAAGAAGAGGGGGGGTTGAGGGGACGTGTAGGAGGAGACTTGACTTGCTTCAGAAGGGAATAGGAGCCGGAGCGCAATTCCAAAACAGCTGTCCGGCAGACGTCCCAGTCGACAGAAGTGCAGCCCCGAGGCAGAGACAGGAGGCAGGGCAGTGTCAACATGCCACAGGAGCAGCAAAGCAGCCACTGAACACACACATACAGACACACATCAACCTGGGGCTGCAGCATTCGGGAGAGCACCAGGAACCTGAGGAAGGATCAAGATCTGCCCATCGGAATATCTGAGGTGAGTGGGAACATGCTTTATTTCACACTCTGCTGTGACAGTAATCTGAATTAGTAGATAGGATGCAGTTTGCCGGCTGTCATGGAAGTGTCGAGGTTTTTTCGGGAATGTCTGGAGCAGAACGGGATATTGCCTAGTAACAGTGAAACGTGCCAAAGCGTGCATGGTAAGTTAGGTTGTATAGGAGCGTTTGTCCAGCAGACGCTTTCATACATGTAACACAAGAGCTGCACTGTTAAAAGCAACATGATATCCTCCCTGCTTTCCAAGAGAGACATTTTTAGTCGGGCTACAAGCTTAAGGCATGTTCCCCTGAAAAGCTTTGCTTTTATCTCTCCAGGGGAGCAGATTTGGAGGAGGTTTTTACCGGTACACTGGGAGGAAAAGATTTCTTCTGCGTTGCCAGTATATGTTGACACTGCCCTTCATGTTTCATATGCTTTGATTCGGTTTCCTGCTCATCTCTGCCAAGGATAACTCTGGCAAGTGCCGGCCATGCTTGCGGGTGGCACAAGGGGAGCGAGAAAGAAAGACAGAACAAATACTCCACCCTGCTATTCACCCTGCACCACCACCAGGCCCCCAAAAGTTAGGCCTTTGCCTATAATTGAGGTTTTTTTATGTAACAAACAGCTCAGTCTATTCTGTAAGGCTACCATTACCCTCTGTGGTATGTGCATTTGCTTTTTATAACAGCCCCAAAGAGAGGGTCTTTCTGCTATTCAAAGGCGTGACAGAAATCAAGGCCATGGTTAGATGTTAGAAGTGTATTTGGAAAACTTCAGTCTTCCACAAAGTTGCTTTGAAGAAACAGTGGGAGGAGTACATGTGTGTCTCCTACACACTGATGATGTTACACTGACCACAACTACTACAGAAGTGCAGAATAGCATGCTATTTTTCAACACCACTGATGTGAAATGTCATCACGGTAAGCCCATCACAGGAGGAATATTTAGGGGATTTCTATTTTAAAGAATGGAGAAGTCATAGACAGGTCATATTTTCAACAGCTGCTCTCTTTGTACATCCTTCATCGCCGGCTTTGGAGCAGTTTGGCAGTGAACTGGAAAGCATCATCAAACTGTAGCATTTGTTTAGGCTACAGTAGAGTTACACTTCCTCTAAGAATATACTGACCCAGTTATATCGCACGTGACTTTTAGGTGTCCAGAAATACCCAGACAAATTGCGAGCCGTTAGTTTAATTACCAGATACCAACCCTACATTTATCTGCCCCCACACACTCCAACTTTCATCACCTCACTCCTTCTGCTGCCCCCCTCACTAATAACTAACCCTCCAAGCACAAACTGATGAGGCAAAGCTCCATTTTTAAGGAGGCTGGAGTGGCTCCAGATCACTTCATGCCCAGACAGATAGCTCTTGCTGACCCAATGACACAGTGGCTTCATCCTGCAGCTTCCATTATAACTGGATGGCTGCTCAGGCAAGCAATTTTGAAAGGAAGGTGCCATCCGATCCCCACTTCCCCAGAGGTGTAAATTAACACCGCGACTGCATTCTGGGGAGGTGGCGCCGCCAGTCAACACGTGCCACGCCGCCTCTTATTGGGCCAGTTCCAAAACGAGGGTGCAAAGCTGGCCTTGGCTTTGAGACCAGAATACACCTGCTCAACGATTAACAGCCTGCAGAGACACAAATGGATTGATTGGGTCAGCAGAACCTAAGGGTCCATCCTGGGATATCCTGAGCTGTTGTAATTGATTTATTTCCTTTTGATCCAAGATAAGCTTAACTGGCATTGCTATGGCTCTTGAGATTCTCTACATATACTCACATCAATACTAATTTAACCAAGCTCTCATTAAATTAAACCTTATACAGCTCCCTAAAAGAATGTCATGAGGATATTGTTTTCCTCAAACTTTGCTGTTGGCCTCTGGAATTCCAGTCATATTTGTCATATAAGCCAAACTGAGCCACCAGCAGGATGGCTGACGTGAAGGTCAGACCTCCAGGCTTTCACTGCACCAGCTGACTTCTCACGGGCCACAAGTGTTGACCTTGGGTAGGATGCACCGCAGAGTTGAGTTGGAGTTGGATTGCTCGTCCACTGGAAGTTCTGTCCATACTATTGATTTCATCTATAATAATGCATGGGCTGTGCGTTTTCTCATGCCACTGGAGAGCAGAGGGTCCACACAGGCCAGACAGATGTTATAATTTCATTAGAGCAGACCAATAATCAATACATTTGGTATGTTTCAGCCAGCAGTGACCTCATGTTCTTGGGAATAGTGTTGCAAAAGTTAATACAGATATAGATATGTGCACTCTGAGCCCACAGGAAGCAGCTTTTGGCGTGGAGGTGCATTTGTTTCACTTCCTATCCAAGCCCTATTTTCCACTGCAGCGAGCATCAGCTGTCAAGGTCAGACAGGATTGAGGAGCAGCAGCGAGAGGGAGAGACACTACAAAAGGAAAAAAAAACAAGTGGGAGGAAGCGAAATGGAAGAAAAAGAATGAGAGAAAAGCTTCAGCTAAACAAGTGAGGGATTTGGCTGTACCCCCCCCCCCTTCATCAAACACTGCAGCACTCCTCTCCCCGCTTCCCTTTCTCTCCCTCACTATTAGCAAACAAACACGCTCTCCTTCGCACACATGGCGTGCATTCAAAACCGCTATCTCTCACGAGCGAAGTCAGGCACCTCGCACATACGCTCACACTCACACCAGCACTCGAATACACAAGACCCTTGGAGAGCGGCGTTGCCATTCAACACACTCACACATGTTCTGCATCCCTCAGTGTTTGTCATGGCTATATATAGCGTCATAGTGCTTGCTGGCTGACAGGTTTATTCGAGTGAGAAGATTTCACCTTCAAGACAGTTCATTACAGTTGTGGCTCTCATGATAGGTATTGGCGCCTAAACGGCACTTCATCAAACAGGTTGGAAACACAAGAATGCATGTTCAAAATGGATGTCAGCGCAATGGTTTCCAGGCTGCTATTTGGATTCAAATACGTAGCAAGTGTCTGTCTCTCTGGCTCCACACTAATGTGCCTGCTGAATAAACATAGCCTACTTAAAGTGTCTCTGATAAGGCTGATGCAGTGTGTCTCTATGGGGTCGGTTGCAGCAGGAATGTGGATGTTTTGTCAGTGAAACCTTTTTTCTTTTTTGGAGGGGGGGGGGGGGGGACTTGACCGCCCAGGCACTTTCGTCAGACGGTCAACTGCTGACAGACCTCTCATAAGTAAATATGTCTAATAAATGGGCAAGCTCTCTCCTAATCTCTCCCACCCCCCCATCACACACACACACACACACACACACACACACACACAAACACACTGTCAACTCCCTTCCGAGTGTTTTTCCCTTTCTCCTTGGTTGCTATGTCATTTCAAACGGTCAAACCGATTCTCTCCTCTTTTTACTGAGTTCATCCTAAACTAAGCTGGCTGCCAACTTGGTGACATTCTCGGTTGGGTTTATAATGGAAAAGCTCTGAGAGGGCAACATGCAATCAGGCACCTTTTTATCAAATCCAATACCTCCTTAATAATGTTTACCCATCCTAATGTATTGTTCAACCTAGCTGGTATCTCAGCCCTTATTAAACTTGGAGCCAACCCTCTGCCTATCAAATCAATTCACATCTCGTCTGCGTCACCTTCTTTCTTAAGATCCACTTGCTCAGTAATCCTTCATTCTCTCACACAATCCCCCTAAAACCCTTTACTCCCCTCTTTCTCCCCTCTGGACCATCTTTTTCTATCTCTGTGCGTGTCTGAGCAGTAGCTTGTTCCTAAAACAGGCTGCCCTGCTCTGATCCTACTAAAGTCTCCTCTCCCAATCTGCGGTCCAGCTGTTCCACATTAGCACATCCAGAGTTGTGGAGGCCAAAGGAGGCTCATGTGTGGAAATGTGAATAGAGCAGAAAAAAGCCTTAGACCCAGGCCTCATCCTCCTCTGCTCTGGCTTCTAAGCTCGCCAGATGCAAGATGAGGATGAGGATTTTTTTTTTCTTGCAGGATCCAGAGTTTATTTGTGGGACTTTGTGACCAGATTTCTTTTTCTGGAAAGCAGGACAGGAGTTTTATATCAGTAGCAGCTGCAAAAATGCTGACATATTCTCTATTTGTCTCTGATTTCAGGAAAGTGGCCATTTGACCTTTCTACATCGTCGGACATCACCAGTCCTGCTTGGAATCCCATTTCCTGATCGATGCTGCAATTGCTGAAATTATTTTTGGAGTCCTGCATGACCGGTGTGTTACTGAGAATGTAACTCGAGCTTCTCCCCTGGGGAACTGTAACGTCCAGAACTTATAGAGCACTTCCGACTTTTCTATCCTGCATATCTGAGACCTCTTCCGCAGTTACAGCCATGCCAGCAAAAGCGCCCATATACCTGAAACCCAACAATAATAAGAAGGGAAAGAAATGTCGCCTCAGAGATATTTTGTCCCCAGACATGATCAGTCCACCGCTTGGGGACTTTCGCCACACCATCCACATTGGCAAGGGTGGGGAGAGAGATGCCTTCGGAGACATGTCTTTCCTCCAGGGAAAGTATGAACTCCTACCCGGGAAGGGGGACGTCCATCCTCAGTATGGCATCCAAAGTGAGTTTCTGAGAGCTAACAGCACCGGTGATGCTTCCTTTGCCGAAACCCCTTCTCCGGTGCTCAAGAACGCCATCTCCCTCCCAACTATTGGTGGTTGCCAGGCACTTACCTTGCCCCTGATCTCCTCCACTGTGTTCTCCATGCCTCCGGAGCCGTTGGAGGACATCATTGGGCCTACAGCTCCCATGAAACCTGACAGCACAGAGGAGGTAGAGATCCTGCAGATGGATGCTTTGTTGCGCTCCATGGACGTCTTCAGCAGCGAGCCTTCGTCTCCCTCCAAGGATATCCAGTCGAAGCCTGACGTCCTCCTGGATCTGCTTGAAAACACAGATAAGTCCACCTCTAAGGCAGTTGCCAAAGTGAACAAAATAAACAAGAGTGAAACCAGGTTTGACAAGCCATCATCCTATTATATCAACGGTCACAGCAACAGCACCTTCAAAGCCAATGGAAGCCTGAACAGCAACACAAGCAGCGACAGCTTTGACAGCTTTATCGGTAAAGGGGACTTCCAGAACAAGATCTGCAATGGCAGCCTCAATGGCAATGGCAACTGCAATGGTTATGGACATTACAACAATGACATTACTATGGGCTTCAAGCAGGAGCTCTCAAAGTGCAATGGAGAGTGGGTGGACAGGGACAGTGGGGTGGAGGAGGGCCGCATCTGTGATTTTGAGTTTGAGTTTTCCAAGGAGAAGAGCACGTCACAGGATTCCCTCGCCCAGATCACGGGGTCATTCCTCTCCCTTGAACTTGATCTGGGCCCATCCATCCTGGACGATGTGCTCAACATAATGGATAAACCCGCAGTGAAGAGCAGGCCTTGAGCTGCGCTGAGGCCCCAAGAGGAGAAAGGGAATTATTAAACTATAGCCATGAGGAGAGAAAGACTCAAAAAGCAATCAAAATGGTGTCTGGATATATCATTGAGATGAAAATGAGCTACAATAGACAGAGCTGCTTATGTTTTTATTGTCAAAACATATAACTATTCTAGCTTCTATGGAGTGTTGATTCTTCTTCTTTTTTGTTTGCCATGCCAGCTGCATGTTTAAAATGCATGTACTATTGAGTTACAGCTAAAACACAGCCATCGTGCCTTTGACTGTAAAAATGCTACATGATAGATTTGTGTTCTTAGGTTGACTCCCACAGCATATACATAATAACTTTGAGGTCCTTTTGCTTTTTTTTTTTTACACAGTGTTAAACATATTGCATTTTGTGACTTTAAGTGTGTTTAACAAAGCTTTCTTTTGTTTGTCACATAATTCATTTGCCACATGACTATTTCAAACAACAGAACACTATGCATATTTGTGTTTTTAAAGTTTTAACACAAATAAATTACTTTTGTCCTATTCTGGCTAATTTCTTGTAGATAATGCATGCATACACCAGAACTGAAAGCTAATTCCAAAAATGATAACTCAAGAGAAGCTGAAACTCAATATAATGCTGGAAAAATATGCAGCACAAAAGCGAAAAAGGCAAACAAGAAAGATACCAAAGAAAGAAAGAGCTACAGAGTGACAGAGAAAGGAGGATAGAATGGATTTATTTTCTCGCCTCTGGCATTCCTTACATTCTGCCTCCCTGCCCTGCAGTGGGAGCACCGGTGGGCCTTCATCTGCCCAACCAGGCGCCTGCTCCATTTGTTTGCGTGTGGACGGGACAGGCAGAGGAGGGGTCTTTGAAATTCCCTGCATTCCAGCCACACAGCACAAGTGTCCAGGACCAGACATAAATCAGCTGTTTCAAGTGTGGAGGGAGGTCTGTCGGCCTTAGAGACACACTATCGCCAGCCAGGATGTATAGCGAAATGAGGTTATAAAATATAAGCTTACAACCCACAGGCAAACTTTGTTCAGTGCTGAACGATAGATGACCACCCCCCCTCTGTTACAATAAAGATAATGTTGACCCAACAGCCTGAAAGAACAGGACAGCGGTGACTGGCCATACATGCAGCCTCTTGAACCCAACTACCCCTCAGCAGTGGCCTCCCCGGCCCGATCCTCTGTCCCTGTGGGATCTTCAGTGTAGACACATAACAACACCTTATGGAGGCTTATAGCAGACTTCCCCCCAAAAACACTCACATGCCACTCTGTCATGCTTGTTTAGAGGAAACAAGATCGACTCCCTCCTAATGCATCCACAGTCAAATATACTTGTGTTAGCAAGATCATTTCACATGCTAATAATTATCTGGGTTCAGTTTTACTTCTGTCATTGAGCAGGCCAATGTGGCAAACCTCTCCGACTCCCTCAAAGGCCTCAGAATGTCCATAAACAACCGCAACCAGCCCGTCGAGGCATCTGAAGTCGCCGTAAAACCAGATGTTAGAGGAGACGTGAACATTTCCCCACGCAAGAAAACCCATGTCATGGCAGATGCCCCAGCCATTGGAAAATCCCAGCATTAGTCCTAGAGAGTTTGCATAAGCTGAGCTGCAGCATACAACCTCTGAGTATGAGTAATGAAAACCTTTGCTGTCAAGGTAATAACTATGCTTATACCTGCAATGGTACATCATTGACTTGATGACAGCCTTCACTTTGACAGGCATGGACCCCAAGAAAACTCCCTTCAGTTTACAAAAGAACTTGCGACCACAGCACTGCAGCGAGTTGTGTAACATATCAGAAGTATTTCTGTAGAGATGCCAAAACTCTCAGACACAAAATACCAGGAAATACCAGTGTTTTATGAAATCCAATACAAATACTCGACATATGTTAGACCCTGAACACTGCCTGCATGTTCTCTGACCGTGAGTTCAGCGCTCTACATGAAACACAGAATGAAGATTTTTGTTTGTCTGAGCAACCAGTTGGCTTTGTGCTCTCATTTTATAGAGGTATGTCTTATGTAAGATTGGTGTTTCTATTATTGTAGAGCCTAGACAACAAAACACTGCACCTGTATTTGAATTGCGCAACTTCAGTGAGTTGGCTACCGGCAGACACAGGGTGTCTTGTCTTGTTTCTGGCTTAAATCTTCTCTGGGAGCCTGAGGGGAGACGAAAAAATACCAGAGATAGAAGTTAGTCCTGGTGGACTGTTTCTCATTACCTCAGGGCCAAGGTGGAAGTTTGACCTAAAGAGACCTTGACTCCGACTGCCTCTGATATTCCAAGCCATCCAGAAACACAATCAGGCAACTCATTGTGACACCCACAGACTCACAAGCAGAACAATATCCCACTTGTTTTACTGGAAAGTCACAGCTTAGCGTAACTCGGCTTCATGTTTTTCAGTTTGCATGAATCTGTCTTAAAATACATTCACTGAGAAATGATATGTTAGGTTATTTTTTTCGACTATGTTTTGTGCAGCCGAACTGATGTTACTGAAAACAGGGAAGTGACTGCCAAATTGGTGACGTTAGTTAAGAGAGGGAGGTGACACGGGTGTTGCCACTACCTGCTGCCTTGTAATTTCGCAACCAGTTGCTTTCCTGACAAAAACAGAAAAAAAGCCTAATTGCTAAATTCTGTCTCTTTGACTTGGACTTAGGATGGAGAAAAACATGAGAAAAAAGAACATACACACCTCTTTAAGCACGTTAGCATTTTCTGGTTTGTGCTAACCCGTCGTGTGAGGCAAATTCAATCCTAAAATATAATCATGGCACACAAAAGCCATTTGCCCTTACATTACAAGGTATATGATTCAAGAACATTTATTGTTCCTCCAGCAGATCAGTGATTCGGGGGATCCAGCTCCTTGGTTTTCCTCGGCTAAGGTGAAGCTGTCAGTTTACAGATGAATAAGCTTTGGCCCAGAGGCCACCGTTGCCAAAGAAAGCACAGCTCAGACCCAGCAAAATTTTCCACCCAACCTCCACAACAGAGCTGCATATTGTGCACACTGTCTTTCACATAGAGGTGTTGGTGAAGGAGCCCCTCGTAGCCGGACTTGAGCCGTGTCAGGCGGATGAGAGGGGAAACTTTAATAAGACATTTCCCTGCTCACTGGCCCTAGATGGAGACAGCAGAGACGTCAGCTGCAGGATAAAGCTCCTCTTGTCTTCACCTGCTGTAAATGTCCTACAGCACAAAATGAGCCCAAACACAGATACAGTACTTTAAATCCAGCCAACAGACAGGGCAGGAAGAAATATCTAAGGTATGAGAACAGCCTTTCTTAGAAATATTATTGTTGAATATTTCTCCTGCTTGCTGGAGAGATATGGCTCATTGTTGATACGTACTGTACGTGATCCAAAATTGAATGCCATGACTGTGATAATCGGGGGCCTCGGTAGTAGAATTTTCTTGGGAACATTTACTTTGGGATGCTGAGCATGGAGCTTGGAATCAAGTGTTCTGCAGATCTGCTGATTTAGCAACGTAGGGCTGCAGCTCCCTTTCAAAAGACAACAACAGGAGAGAGCGGAGAGAACTTACTCTCAGGGGGGAATAAAATGAGGCTGAGCAGGGTTGATGCAGTGCAGATACGAGCTCACATGCAGTTTGGTCTGGCAGGCAATGGACGCCTCAGGTTCACTGCACTGTTGACTGTTGTTTGGCTGACAGTAACCATAGCGAGTTGAGTTTGTATCTTCAGCACGTGAGGGCTGAGCTGAAAGGAGGGCAGAGAGAGACGAGAGTTAAACAGAGCAGTGTCACCTCAGAGGCACCAGAATACCTCTGTGACAAAACCCAGACCCAGTTAATCGCAGTGCCACGCTATGTAGAGCAAAACAAGAGCTACTGTACGCTTAATTGTATACTTCATTTATCTCTAATGCGAATCATAATTTTTGGGGTTATTTGCACTTGGCAGTATTCAGCGTAATACCTGGTCTTATGTGAATTGTACTATACAAAAAGTGTTCAGTGCACATGTAACTACAGTTCCAGCTATTAACTGTAATTTTAAAGTATAATTATGAATGCTGATTATTTTTAATTTGTATATTTTATAAATTGGTGTAATTTGTCCTTAAGCATCAAATTCCAGTATATCCTTCCAGTATATATCACTTCTCATGATTTGATGACGTATCAAAGTTAAAACTGTTTTAAAGGCCCACTGCATAACTTTTAGGAGGATCTATTGGCAGAAATGTAATATTCGTACGTATGTTTTTATTGGTGTATAATCACCTGAATATAAAAATCCTTGTGTTTTTGTGCATTGTGTTCCCCCTTACAGAGTCTGCCATGTACGGAGTTCAAAGCCACCATTGTTTCTCCTGCATGCATAGAATGGGAGGGTGAGGTGAGGGGGTCTTAATCAGCAACTACTCCACAAGATGACACTAAATCATACACACTGGTCCTTTAAATGCAGGCATGTATGGTAAAAAGTAAGTCGTCCTCTAAAGTAAAATATGTTTTCAAATTTTTATTTAGGGTCCAGAAACTTTAAACATTTTATTTAAAGAAATTATGAAATAAAGATGATAAAAAAAGAAAAAACAGATTTAAAGCAAAACTACTGCTATGTAACTTTTTAAAGAGGAAATAACACAACCTGCCTCTTACAAATGAAACTTTGAATTTATAAAGAATAATCAATACACTACAGACTTACTTGGTCTGGTATGAACAGTAGCTTATGATGACTGACATTAACTTAGTTAGTTCATTTGTTAGGAAACTTAAGATAGATATTGCTGTATCACCGCTATTTGTTTGTTAGCTCTCCGCCTGTGTTATGGTACTGATATGTTAGAGCATTTAGTATTATCCTGTTTTGAGACCTCAGTGTGAAGGAGAAATTATGGTGGCTGCAAAACTAGCAAAAAACGGGAATTGCCCTCCTTAGTGCCAGTATTTGGTTTTTCTCTTCTGGGCGTCCATGGAAGATATAAATATAAACGACTTATTCTAAGATAACAGAAACATAGTAATTCTTATTTCCAGGTAATTATACACTAATGAA